GAATTTGATACATATGATAGCTTAAATCTAAGGTTATGCCTAAAGTTTAGAAATCAGCAAAGTGCAAGGACTTGAATAATCTTTTTTTCACTGATGTCGTTTATGGCAAATGAAAGCTTGATTCTTCACCTTTAAAAGAAAAATTGTATTTCTATGATTGTATTTTCTGTACTTGTTACAACGGTTAGAAAAATTCGTACATAAATTCCGACCTAACACAAGTACCTGTTAGGGAACTCGAATCCCAAACATTATTTTATCCACTATACAACCTCAGTTTAACACACGAACATGCCGTGTTTGACCAACTCTTTTGCAATGGCACGAAAAATAGCCAATATCAGCTAAAGAACAACGAAAATTAAAAGTTTTTTGAACCACTATAATATCTAGAGAAGAAATGTTCCCACAATGTTTAAATGATAAGATAGAATTCATTTTTTTAACTGATTTTGCATAAAAGCCCGAAATCTATGAAAGTACTAGTGATCGATCTGAGATAATAATCGTTATTTTGTTTTGTTTTCCAGTAAACGCGTCAGGCGAACTACTTCGTGGCACATCTCTCACAAATCAGATTTCAATTTTCACTCCACTCAAGAGATGAACAACGCTTATCCTCACAATGAGAATAGCTCTACGACAAACTGTACAAAGGACGATTTTTACGTGCAACCGCGGTCCACATCGCAATGGGAAGAAAAAAGACATAACATGATTCTAGATAACATACACAATGAATTTAGTACTCCGAATGCGCACACGAAAAAGTACAATCAAAATTCTTTGCAATCGGGGAAGAATCGAATACGATCCTCGGTACGTCGAGTGTCGTCGTTCCATGGTAATGAACAAACCAATTCAGCGCATTCAGATGACAAAAATGAAAACTTGAAGAAGTCAAGCAGCCAGCAAAATGTGGTATTAAATAATACGCCCGTGACCAAATCGAAGACACCGACTTCTTGGAAAGACGCGAAAGGATATTTCCAGACGAACCAAACGAACACCCCGATCAATCAAACTGGCCGTGCGTCGATCGCGAAATTGAGAACTCAGAACGCCGGGATGGTGCTGGCTAAGGCTAAGCTGTTCGACGAATGTACCGCGAAAGTGTACAGTACCCAGAACTTCGTAGCGAGTAAAAAAAACGGTCAATGTCCGGATAACGTGAAGCAAAGCTGCGAACGGAAATCGAGTAAGAATGCAAAAAGCAGATATCCGAAAGCAGCGAAACATACTCCTCCTCCAAGTATAGAGACTGAGAAAGATCAGATCGAAACGTGTTATTACATTCCCAATGACTCCGCGAATCACAAAGAGAACGTGGTTAAAACATCACCTTTGGTGAGGAAAATACCTATAAATACAATAATGCATGAGCCAAGACTGAACGTGTACAAAACGGACAGTGTATTAACTTGTAAAACGCCGAATATAAAGAAGCCGTTAACAGTAAAGACGCCTAAAAGTGGAAAGGCGTTAGTTAGGAAATCTACTGTAGAAACTCGCAGGACACCTTTGAAAGCTGTTAGTCAATTAAGCACCCCGAAATATCAGAGTCCTAAAAGCATTTTAAAGATGTCAAGGAACATCAGTAGATACACTTAACGAACTCGTCGAAGATGTGTTCGATTGATTAATTAAATTAGCAAGCTATAAAATGGTGAAACCATCGAAAGATTGTTAGAAACAATTTATACAGGGTAAGTCGCCTGAGGCAAGCCACCTAAATAACTTCTACATTTTTTGAGATAGAAAGGTGTGTTTCAGACAAGATTTGTTTGGTTTCGAGAGATATGTTACGTGGTATACATAACTTTTCTGCAGATGGAGATGCTTAAGGGATTTAAAGGTCAACTTTGTTTTTTCGAATGAAATAGGATATTTTTTTATACATGAAACGATGCCACTATATAGACATATAAAAAAAAATATTTCAAAACAATTTAAAAATTTGGACGGACATTAACGTTTATTTACAGGGATGGTTTAACGTAACAACCATTTGGATCACAACATCTATGAAATAAGGACTGAACTACGTTGTTTAATGTATTGTCTGATATTTTGCAACATACAGCGATAATACGCTGCTTCATATCTAATATTAGGATGAACTTCAGAATTACCTAAATTGAAGTACCTCCTAAACTACTAGCTTTTCGACATACATAGATCAGCACTTTCTTTATAAAAAGTGTCTATATAGTGGCATCGTTTGATGTATACAAAAACTCAATTGTATTTAAAAAAAGTTTACCTTCAAATCTCTTAAGCAGCTGCACCTGCAGTAAAATTCTGTACGTTATGCAATGTGTCCTTTGAAACCAATCAACTTTTGTTTGAAACATTTCTTCCAATCTAAAAAGACTATGGAAGGTATTCAGGTGGCTTGCCTCAGGTGACTTACCCTGTATATAGAAATGAACTTCAGATTAATTTTTTATAATATATGCTAAATGATAATATACTGAAGCATATTGCAAGTATGTTAAATGGAAACATAGGCCTGTGTCGCACATGCAGAGCTGGAATGGTTTTAAAAGCAAGACATTTTTAACAAATTTTCTTTAAGGAAGTTTATGTATTTATATATATACCTTTTTGTATGTTTTATAATGTTACTATTTTCTGTAATATATATTGGTGTATCTAAAGTACAAACTATACTAT